GGGAGAGAGAGAAGGGGGGAGCGAGAGGGGTCGAGGGAGAGAGAGGGGTGATTGGTGGAGACGAAAACTCAACCCTTAAAGACTTTCACACAAAGGCCCTTGGCTGAGAGTTATGTGAAGTCCTGCAAGCCCAAAGGCTGAGAGGTTGGACTGCATAGCTCAACAGTGGCGACGGTATACGCAGACACTCACTGGGAGCATTACCCAGCTTCACTTATGTGGCCGTTCTTGAGCTATGCAGTCCAACCTCTCAGCCTTTGGGCTTGCTGCCAACTCTGGCTATGAAAAAACGAGTCTGACTGCCAAGTAGCAACTAATGTCGGGGCTGTTGTCCGAACTTACCGTATGAGGCGCTACGATGTCCTGTGCTGGGACTGTAGCTCCCCCAACCGAATCCCTGCAAGGTCGACTGTTTAGGGTTATTACTGCGAAGTAGTCCCATCCAATCGGCTAAAACCCTAAACCCTAGCGCCTGAAAGGGAAGGGTGGCCTGCCAAAGTCCATAAGGTTGTTTTGTGTCACTTTGCCTCTACCCAGAATAGTAAGTTTGCAGTTACAGCCTCCCCATCCTGACCTCTAACCCCTCTATCCTGAGCTCAGGGTGCTGGTAACCTAGAGACACTTAACCCCACTTTAATGAGACCTAAACCTTTGGGGCTTTGTGATAAGCCAAGTTCCATACAGCGCGGTTTCAAGAACCCTTCAGATTAAACCCCAAAGTAAGCCACAAGTACGGACTTGACGAGAAGATGGAAGGATGGGGGTCGGGTTTTAAATTTCCGAAGATAATTGCATGCATTTTTCGAAATTGTCCTCGTCATTTTACAGATTAGCTCCGTGCGGCCCATTAGTGACTGTGCGGGAATCTGCAAAGAAACGGTTATTATTTCGGTTGCTGCTGCATTTTAATTTTTCTGCGACAAATGCGCGCATGCGGCTATTTTTCGAATTCTTGAATGCTCATGCAAGCTGGCTTCCCACTTTCGCCCACACGCCAAGTTCTTTTCTTGCTCGTCCTTCATCTACGCGTACCCCTTCGTCTTCCTCCACTCCCTTCCAGCGCAGGTGATTGGTCGTCGGTTGAGTTGGTCAGATCAAGCCGTAAGAGCGAACTTGCGCACGCGGCTCGGACGGCCACCTCAATTGTACAACAAATTTTATCACCCCGCCTCCGTCGACCTTCTAGAACATTCTTCCTTCTCTCCTCCTCATCTACCACCCTCTGCTCCCCCCACATAACACGCTGTTGCCCCGTTGCTTTCCACACTATAAACTTGTGCAGCCCCCTCCTTTCCTTCACTTTGATCTCAGCTGCAATGCTGCGAGAGCTCGAAGGCTGCAGCGCCAAATAGGCTCGACGGGCCCAAGGACGGGCGATAGCAACAGTTTTGGTGGATGGTAGTCAGAGGGACTGAGTGGTGGTGGAGACTAAGGTGCGGCCAGTGGCAGGCCTTGTGGCTATGCTGGCGTGCCTTAGGTTGGACATGGTGGCTGCGCATGTGTAGTGCCAACATTACAGTTTTTGAAAACTGCTCCATTTTTTATTTTTTTTTTCTGATCACATCAATCAAGTATATCTCCCCATTGCTGTGGAATCCTGACGGTCGTGAGAAGGCTCTGCCGTGAACCTAATCGGAAAAGAAAGGTTTGTGTTTCTGATCCGGTTGTGGGCTCAGTTAAAGTAATTCATTGACGGTTTTGGCTGTTAAGCTGAGCCCATAACCTCTCAGACTGTCGTTTGACATTTGACACTATCTGCCGTGTTCTTCATACCTTTAACAGCACAGTTTGGCTCTAATTATCTGGGTTCTGGGTGTGAACGGTAATCTGAGTATTTTACTTTTATTTTATTTGTGTTTTTTCAAACAGATAAATAATTTACGTGAGAAGATATTTGCTGGTCGAGGTTGGGTGTGCGATTGGGTGTCAGTCACTGTTGTCAGTCCCTGCACCTGAAAACGGTCCCACGCAGAGATGGGAATCAGTAAGTGACCCCATCAGCCGGAGTTCACAGATCAGTCAAGGCTGCCATTGGAAGTACGACCCTGCTGGTCAATCTTGACGGTCAGTGCCATTCCAGTGAGCCTGTCAAGTCTATCAACTTGTTCGGGTTGGGAATCAGCACCACATTCCATATCTAAGTAGACTAGTAAATGGTCTTCAACCTTTTACCACTTCCGCATTTATCATGTTGTTGGAAAAGTACCTTCGACGCAGGGAATTGCAAGTTGCATGTCACTGAACTCAAGAGTGGAGAAGTAGGTAAGGCTGCAAAGGCAGCCCGATCGCAGTTGGAGCAGATGGAGAAGCAGAAGGAAGGTCGAGACAATCCAAGGATTGAAGAGGGAAGAACACACATCCTGGGATGAAAGTTTGACTTCGATCGTGGACAAATTATCCATCCTCGAAACTAAACTTTCCTCCCTTGCAGATTCCTTTGATCGTTTTGTTGCAGTCATCGATCTATGTTTCCTCCCTTCTCCTACTCCCACAACTGCTCCTACGCCTACTCCTCCTGCTACACCCAATTCCAATCCAAGGTCCTATATTGCTGCATCATCCCAAGCCAGTAGCCCTAAGAGCAGGCCGGCTACACCTCCAAAGGTGCAGTCTTTGCAGCTTGTGCCAGGGCACCCTTGGACTTCTGAGGCTAAAGTGACTGCAGGCCTAGGCCAGCAGAAATCGAGGTGCCCCAAGACAGTCTAACCTGAGACATTCACTGGGGATGACCCCAAAGTGGATGTAGCAGATTGGACTTCCTCGATGAGATAGTACCTCATGGAACTCACTTGCCCAGAGGTTACCAAGGAGCAGTCCACTGTGGCCCGTTTGGGAGGGCCTGCACTTAAGTGGGCTACTTCTGAGGCCAATAAGGCCGAGAAGCATCTGGCCAACTGGGCTGTTACAATAGAATTGGACCATATATTTAAGGGTCTGGCAGAGAGGTTCACTGATCCAGAGAGAGCCAAGAAAGTTGTTACAGAGCTTGTGAGGATTGGCCAGTTACAATGGCAGGGATGCTCTACGCAATTTGGGAAAGGCTAGCCTCTACACCTGGGTTATCCATGTCAGACCAGGACAAGTTGCAGTTGTTTCTCCAGGCTACTCAGGTAACTTATGTACAGGCCCTATTTTCTGCAGGTCACAAGGATTTGAGGGCCTTTGGCAGAGCAGCCAGGCCAAACTCCAAATCCAGTCCACTTCCCAGGCAGGAAGCACCTCCCCTTCTCAGAGTCAAGAGGAAGAGCAAAGGGATGTGGCACGCGATGAAGTCTGCGGAAGACTCTGCAGGATTTGACCAGAGAGAATTGACTCTCTTTTCTGACTTTGGCTCAGGAACTGGTAAGCGCCATGAAGGGCGCAAATTGCCATTCTTGGGGCAACCACTACGTTGTAACATGACCCAGTCAACAGTGGATCGAACTGGATTCTATTGAACTGAGTATCCTTTTGTTGAAGAAGGATCAGGTGCAGTTTGGTTGTTTGTAACTTACCTGTGTGTGTGTTCATCTGATGGAAACCTCCTCCTGGTATAGCTACCTTGAACCTGCTTCCTTCACTGATCCAATTGGTTTGTCTGTGCATCCACTGTGTTTGAGAATGAGTACGCTAAGTTCCGGGGTGATCCCATTTCTCAAACACCGTTGATGGACAGACTGTAGCCAGACAAGAATTTCACTATGGGTTTCACTGCATCCTTGTCTGACTACCCCCTTGTACTTCCTGTAAGTGTCATTCACTGTCTGATCCCGTTCATGTTCTCATTGAACTGCACTCATTGGATGGATGACCTGTGTTTGAGAGAGAGAGTATGATTAGTACAAATCTTACCTGAAATTCTCCTACACAGTCCTAAGTTTTACTCTTTCGGGTAGAAATCAGATTTTCAGTGTTTCTCTGAGGTCGCACACTTGTAGCAACAATGCTCTGAATTTTACCAATAGAGCTGCAAATTCCTTTTAACCACTGGGCTTTGTCGTAATAATGTCTCAGCCTGATTGGCCAGAGTCAAATTTGTTTGTGACTGAACTCTCTACTCAAATAGACCTACCCTACACATGACTCCGTCACTTCAAGCGTCTTTGTTCAATATGGCGAGCCTTAGCCCCATATACAGATCTTGTCAGATCCTACCCTATTCTTGGGAAGAATCTGCGTATCACACTTGCAAATACACAGATCAGCAGTTGAGGAGTAATACCCAATTCCGACAGAAATTAATCAGATTTTCAGAATTAATGGGTTTATAATGACCCGCCATAACACAGACTGAGAACACTGCTGATTTCTGAATTCTGCCGATGGAATGGATGCCTTACTGAGATTCCGGCATTCTGCTGAGTTTTCTAAGTCTGTGTGTGTGTGCGTGATTGGTGACCTGCGTGCCTGTCTGAGTGTTTGTCAGCATGAGTGTGTGTGTGACCCGCAAGGGTACTTGCTTGTTTGGGAGGGGTACTGACATTGAGGGTTGCAGCAGGGAAAACACTCAAGTGGCGGAGCAAGAGGCCCATGAAACTTAGAGCAGCGGAAAAATACTCAAGTAGCAGGTAGGCCGGTATCACACCCAGTAGAAGTAGATGTGCCAGGTACTCGAGGCCGAGCAGAAGAAGACAAAAGTTGGCATTTTCAGAGGCCCAGTAGTTGTAGGCCACGTCTAGGCGGGTACCAGTCCACCCAGTCTGAGTCTAGGGCCTGTATGGGCAATATCAGAGTCCGCAATGATGTTTCCCTCCAAAAAGGGAGGAGGTACCGGTTGCTTGGGAGGCCGAGCGGCCTGGAGGTCACCACCCAGGAAGCAAGTAGGCCGCTATATCTTGAGGCTGAGCGAAGAGCCCAGCCGCATTCTTCGGTGTGCAAGTTTGGTGACACACTGCTGGAGAGCTGGCTGGAGGAGCGCTGGCTACTACAGTGCTGCTGGGAGGAAGAAGCCCTGGAGCTTCCACCTCGGCTATGGTGGAGCTCTACCGGTAGGAGGAGGAGGGAGAAGAGGACCAAGGAGGAGAGTGGCGAGGTACCTACCTGGCTATGGTGGAAACCATCTTCATCACCTTGATAGGCGCTGCATCTGGAAGGCCCAGTTGGGGTAGTGCGGCACCAGGGAAAGCTCGGGGCAGAGTCAGGCATGGCGGCCTAATGAGCAGTTGCAAAGCTGATTGGTGTTGTCCTTTGCACAGGAAGGCAGCGGCATAGCTGCTTTGGGTTGTCCTTTGGACAGGAGGGGAGAGCCCTCAGTAATCCGCCATAGCCTCGCCCGACATGAAGAGGAAGAGGAGGTGTTACATGCTCCGCCTGCAACAGGCTGCACGGGCCATTTTCAGGCCCGTGTCGTTTCAGCCTAAAAGCCTGAAAACAAGGGCCTACAGGCCCTGTGTCGTTTCAGCCTGAAAGCCTGAAAACAAGGGCCTACAGGCCCTGTGTCGTTTCAGGCTAAATCAGGGCCTTTCCGGCCCTGAGTATTTTCAGCCTGAAACTGAGGACCATTTTCAGGCCCTCATCAGTTCGACCTGCCCTGAAACTCAGGCACCAGACCAGGGTTTTAGCTCAGGCCATTTTTGGCCTATTTTCAAGACAACCTTCGTTTAAGCTTCAACCCCAGGGTCTGGCACGTTTTGGCATTGGCAAGAGCAGCCACCTGGACGGGCCAGCACTATATAAGACTGGCCCGTCCTGCAGGCTGCAGGTAGTAGGGAGGTAGCTCCTAGGTACTTCCCAGGCACCTCACGTGCATGCAGGAGGCAGTCAGTAGTCTTCAGGATTCGGCAGCACTCTGGAGGACGCTGCAGGAGTAGTTGTAGCGTTAGCAGTAGTCTTCAGCGCTGGGCGCTAGTAGCGTTAGTTGTAGTCTTCAGTGCTGGGCGCCATAGCTAGAGTAGTGCTAGAGAGAGAGAGATTGGGCGGAGGCCAGGGGTACTTACCTGCAGCGCCGTTGCTCCAGCTTCGTCTTCGAGGTACCTGCAGCACAACGCCAACTTCACAGGTTAGTACCTGGCTCGTGAGAGAGAGAGAGAGTTCTTATTCTTCCTCTTCTCAGTCCACCGTCTCCTTCCCACCCTCTCGCTATCTGACTTCACTGCATCAGCAGACTACGAGCGAGTGAGAGAGAGAGAGAGCTTGGTGACATTTGGATCCAGACTCGACTTTGGACTTCAGACATTTTGAAGAGGGATTATTTGGGACTTGTAACGAGACTTGGTGTGGACGACTTTCCCATCTCCTCTGTCCTCTTCTTCGTCCGATCCCCTCCTCTTCGTCTGTGTATGTCTGGACCTGGCGCCTCTTTCCTGTGTATCGCGCCAGGCCCCTTCACACCTTGTGATGAGCATGATATATGTTTGGTCTGCGTTGAAACATCGATTGGGCTAGTCATTAGTATTCTAGCATCCTGCTTCGCTATCTTGTACTACGTGAAAGAGGTCAGTCCCAGTCAGGTCAGGACTTGTATCTAAAGTCCTCCCTGCGCTATAAAGCACCATTTTGTATGTATCGGAATGCACATTGCTTGTTGAGATTCCACTTGCACTTCAGTCCTTTTTATTATATTGCGGATCCTCGGTTTATATGTACATCGCCCAACTGGGCATGTAACAGGAAGGGTGGCCATGGCTATGGTGGACCTCATGTTGTGCCTGCTGTAGAAGAGGGATTTGGACATTGATTCTGGTTCAGCCATTCAACATTCTTATTGTTATTTCTTGTTTGAATAAGAGGGAAGGAGATAAGGAGGAGGAGCGAAGTTGGCGAAGAAGAAGAGCATTGTCATTGGTCTATGCTGGAGTACATCATCTTCTTCTTCTTTCCCTCTCTCTTCTCTCAAGTTCATTCATATCTTTTTGCAATTGAACGGCATTGTGTTACAAAGTTGATTACTAGGCTAACACCCTTGCATTCAACTAGACGGCCCATGTTGTTAGTCTAAACATCGATCATGTGATTTTCAGGATGTTGTTAGTTATCTATAAGATGATCACCAGGCTAATACCCTTGCATTCAGCTAGCCAACACTCGCTGATAATCTGAGCTACAACCCGTAGATTTTCAGAAGCTGAGTGGTTGCCTAGAAGTTGATTACCTGGCTAATACCCTCGCATTTCTGATAATCTCACCATAACCCTATGGCTGGTAGTTGGCTATGTAGCTCGTGGGTCCTCGCTCCCCGGGAGAGTAACAATGCAATAAATTGCAGTTTGCCAGTCGCGCTGCACACTAAGTGTTCGGCTTTGTAGTTTGTTTTCTTGTTTTGAGCTTTGCGGGACTTGATCCCATGAACTGTGACTTGTGTGTTTTGTTTGTTAGTTTTGAGACCTATTGGGCTTGACCCCTAAATCTGTCACTAGTAGTCCCTATGTGGCAGTCATAGGCCATTCGGCCTTTTCCTTTTGCCTAGCTAGGGGATTGGGTCCCCTTTTTCCTAGTTTCTGGGTAGATACAGATGAACCTTGGGCTGCTGTCTTGGGAGTCCGTCCAGGTCTTGTCCGTGAGTAGAAGAAATGGGTAGGAAATGGGTCTGGGGTCTTTTTCACGTTTTCGTTGGCTGGGGAAACTCTGCCCGTCCGTTGTTGGAGCGCTGCTGCGCTATTTTGGGCGAGGTCATCTTCTTCCTCGAAGCCCATCCCTAGCTGGGGTTGGGAAACGAAGTTGAAGATTGCACTGCTGCTATTTTGCAGCTCTGCATGAGAACTTTCACAGGGTTTGGGTGCTGCCATCTTTCACTTGGCAGCCATATCTGTTGTTCCTCCTTGCGAGGAACTTCATCTTCTTCGAAGTGCTGGATCGGTTGTCTCCTTCTTCATCAGGACTTCTAGCGCTGCACTTCCGTGTGGGCGCTGAGCTGGTGCTGCTATCATTGGGGTTGCTGGGTCTGATTGGCACGCTGTACCAGCTGTGGGGTTACTGCTGCTACAGCGGTCATAGCCAGGGTGATGAGGTGGCGTGAGGAAGAAGAAGACTCCTGAAAACTTCGTTGATCATGTGTTCTCGGTTGTGCGGGGTTGTTGTAAACGCGGTTGTGATTCTTGGAACAAGTGGTACTCTGGATTAATTGGAGGAGGACGAGGGATTGCAGAATTGAAATTCGTTTTTCAATTCTCTGTGCATTCTGAGCTTCCGCTGTGCATATCTTCTCTCCGGTTTTGTCTGGATTTGCCTCCTTCGAGTCTGAGTTGGACACTACAGCCTTGCAGGGGTGAGTTGGATATCACGACCGGTATGGTTCCAACTTTCCAACTTTGAACACCGTGTCCTGGCTGTAGTGGTTAAGATACCTGGCTCTTGAGGCCGAGGTCGCCGGTTTGAATCCGTGCTTGGACGTCGGGCTCATGCTGGGATGGGTAGTGCCATCCTGTAACCTCAGCTGTTGGGGAGCTAGATGTGCAGATTCACTTAGCTGCTGTGGAAGCACCCATTAGCCGCCGGGTGATGTGGCTCGTGAAGGTGGATGGGAGGAAATACCAGTGGTAAGGATTTGTGCTGAATGGCGAGAGCGAGGTGTGCGAGAATCGCCGTGTCCGTGTGGTGTTGTGTGTGGTGTGTGTTGAGTTGGACACTACAGCCTTGCAGGGGTGGGGTGGATATCACGACCGGTATGGTTCCACTTTTGAACACTGTGTCCTGGGTGTAGTGGTTAAGATACCTGGCTCTTGAGGCCGAGGTCGCCGGTTCGAATCCGTACTTGCACGGTGGAGGACGTTGGGCTCATGCTGGGATGGGTAGTGTCATCCTGTAACCTCAGCTGTTGGGGAGCTAGATGTGCAGATTCACTTAGCTGCTACTCTGCAATTGCATGCGTGAATGGGAACATGTGAATTCGTTGTGGATTGAAGCTCAATCGAGTACATATCATATTGCTCCCAGCAACAGACGGTTTAATTAACAATGAATAATAAAATCATAGCATAATGATAAATCATGCATTAGTAATTTAATAATTTTAATAGCAGCTCTCTGTCTTGTTTTCACACCCACCTTGGAAACAAAAGCCTTGGTGTCATCACCAATACACAACACTCTCAGCGCTTCGCATGCTCCCAACAACGCCCCACGGCTCACACCGTCTCGTCTAATGACATCCAAGAGGAGACCTCCTGCCTTGCAATCCATCAGCTCGCACTTGATTCTTTCGTGCGCTGTGGCCGCAGCAGACATAACCCCCGTGACTCGCATCAGACCATCAGAATCGTCTTCTCCTTCTTTGCACAACTTCTTCAGCCATTTGACTGTTTTCGACGGACCTTCGACATCAGAAAACTGCTCCTGAAAGCGACCATCTGTTGGGAAGTCAATCGCGAAAAAAAAAAATAAAAAAAATTAAAAATCAAAGAAGGAAAGAGGGTGGCTCCATGCAAGTATGCAATTAGTAATTTATTAAATTCAATAAATTAATACACATACTATACAGAACCACAGTGCAATCAAACAGTCCTATCCAAAGTTCTTTTAGCGGTGAAAAAAAGGGAGAAACATCCATCGTTCACACGACTGACCTAGGGGAGAGGCCAGTCAGCGGACCAGCGAAGAAGGAAGAGGAGGAGCTTTAGAAGGAAAAACGTATCGAGTTAGAGAAGAAACAAGAAGAGGATAAGGAGGCAGATCGGATGTGGGGGATACATAAGATGTTCTGCAAGCAACGGGTGTTCCTGAGGAAGGAAGTGAAGAAGGCGGTCAACGAAGAGAGAGTCGGTATGGTGAAAAAGGAAGGGAAGAAGGTACTGGAGGAAGAAAAGGAATGGGAGGAGTGGGTCGACGACGATGATCAAGAGGAGGCCAAAGAAGTTGAAGAGGAACTGAACAATAGGAGGAGGAAAAGGGTTCCCGACCCAGGCAGGAGCAACGGAAGCTAGCCCGGCAGTTGAAACTCCACCAAAGATCGCGAGAGGAAGCAGCTCAAGACAACCGGTGTTCCCAATGGCTTCTCCTGTGGAGCTGGAACGGAAGACAAGGGGCCGGCCAAAGAAGAAGGAGATACCAGCTCTGGTCGTGGACCCATGGTATGGAGCCCCCTGCTCGGCCGACTACAGGAATAGAATGAGTTTTAAGGTGGCGATGGTGAAGTCTGTGGGAAAGAAGCTGTGCCCAGAACTGAAGCAGATGTGTAGGAAGGAAGGGGTGGGGTGGAGAGGAGAAGAAGAGGCAGTAGAAGAGCTAGCCGAGCTGCGAGTGATACAGAGTATTTTCGAGGCCGCACCAGCAACAGGGTAAGCGCTCCTCAGGTGACCGGGCCTGCAACTACCTAGGGCCGATGAGAACGAGACGAATTACCCGTAAGAACGGGGAGGGGGGATTGAACAAGTTTCAAGCATGGGAGTATCAGCGGGAGGCCTTCGTGATTCAGGGGAGATTGGGAGGGAATATGAAATTTAGGAGGACAGCGGATATCTTGGATAGGGTTTGTAGGCTTCTTGTGTTGTTCTTAATCCCGAGTGGGTGTGTTGGACGTGCAGAATTTTTCGGAGTTTTCTGTCTGAGGTTTTTTATCGGGATCCATATGGGTGGCTAAAGGTCGAATCCTGTGTCCACGTGCTAACCAGTCCATTCTGTCGGAAGTTTTACAAATAAATTATATAAATGGCTTTGTAAATTTGAATGCCGAACCTACGTTACGCTGCCGCTGGTGTGCGCGGAGAAGGATGAGCTACTAAAAGTGGAGGGGATATTTATTGGGAGGTCTCCCCCTGCTTGAACAGTGTGGGGAAGAAGAAGTCCGGAAGACGGGGCAGGAGGAAGGGGAAGAGAATCACGGGGAAGGAGAAGCAAGGGTGGGCACGGAGGATAGTGAGGTTTTGGACCCAGGAAAAAGAATTCTGTGATCTTGAGAGTTTGCTGGTCGAAGGATAAAACGAGTTTGTGTCAGTAAGAGAGGACTTATGGGCAAAGAAGCGGTCCGTATTTAGGAGGAGGTTCGGAGAATGGGTTGTGAGAGTGAAAGGAAAGGTGAGACAGCTGAAGGAATGTAAGAGGGAAATGCAGAACGGAGGATGGTTCCACGTAGTGAGGATCGTCCAGGGAAGATTTGGGTTGTCGAAGGATAAGAAAACACTGATTCGCCATCAGATTCGGTTATTATCGGTGCCATGGACGACAAAAAATCTGTATACCCCGTCGTTGGATGATCTAGCTCGACTCTTTCAGACTGCTAGAACCTTTCCAAAAAAGCAACGCGCAATAAGGTTAAGAACATTATAGATGGAGTACCGTCCAGGATATTCGGAATACAAATTAGGAGACGGGTAGTGGTGTGGGTTACGTACAACGACAAGATTTAAAAAAGGAAGGTGAGAGACTTGGCTAAGGAGAGGATTAGGGAACAATTCCTGGAGTGTGTCAGCAGGATCATCTGCGCTCGTTTGAGGACACTTCGGAAGAGTAATCGGACTGTCAGTCAAGCAGTGCAAACCCATAGATCTGCAGCGCAGAATGTGGTAGGTGTCTGCCCTTGTGCGGACTCAGACCTTCCGAAATTGGAAGGGCATGTGACCTGTAAGCTCGGCTCCGTATCTGAGGTTCCCGCTACCTTCACCAATGCCAAGAACTTGTCTAGGAGGGATGGTATGGAGTTGGTGACGGGAGTAACAAGGGAAATTAATGATTCGTTTCTGAAGTATGGGTTAACTAGATGGGTAACACCAAACGAGGTGACAGATGTGCTGGTGGGTTCAGGAGATAAGTCGGGCAATGATTCTGTGTCAGAAAGTGTGGAACTGTGGAAACGCTTGTTGGTGAATTTTGTGAGAGCGACTTTGGATAAGAATCCTGCCGAGACACTGATTATGTGCCCGGAAGTGTATGCAGAAGGAATGCGGGATATGTTTTGGGGGAAGGGAAGCTTTTAGGCAGTAATGGATAATGAAGGGGAGCACTTGAGAACTGTAAGACTGTGTACACTGAACAGGGTTTAAAAAAAAAATCACCAGGTGGGATGGGAAAGGTAAACTGGGTAATGCGTATAGCGCGCCAAAGAATAAGGACTTTGGGAAGTTTCGCCCGATTACCCTGTCTTTTTCAGAGGCATCAAAGCAGGCGAGTAGGAAGGAAGGTGGCGAGGGCGTTGAATGCGATGCTGTTGTTGCTTGCTCCTTCCAGCCATTTCAACCTGAGATCTGTCGGGGATCTGAAAGGGAAGGTTGGAAAAGTTACAACGTGGGCACAGTTGTTATGCACCCGATTGAACTTCAATCCACAACGGATTCACACGTTCCCATGCACGCATGCAATTGCAGTAGACTCGAAGCAGGCAAATCCACACAAGACCGGACAGAAGAAATGCACAGCGGAAGCTCAAAACACATAGAGAATTGAAAAACGAATTTCAATTCTGCAATCCCTCTCACTCCTCCAATCAATCCAGAGTACTTGTTCCAAGAATCACAACCGCATTTACAACAACCCCGAACAACCAGAAACAAGTGTTCAACGAAATATACAGGAGTCTTCTTCTTCCTCCTCGCCACCTCATATCCCAGGCTATGGCTGCCGTAACAGCAGTAACCCCACAGCTGTCACAACGTGCCAATCTGAACCAGCAACCCTAATGATAACAGTGCCAGCTCAGCACCCGCACGGACGTGCAGCGCTGGAAGTCCTGATGAAGAAGGAGACTACCGTTCCAGCTCTTCGAAGAAGATGGAGTTCCTCGTGAGGAGGAACAGCAGATATGGCTGCCAAGTGGAAAGTGGCAGCACCCAAACCCAACAACACAGTCCTGTGGAAGCTCTCATGCAAAGCTGCGAAACAGCAGCAGTGCAGTCTTCAACGTCCTTTCCCAACCCCAGCTATGGCTGGGCTTCGAAGAAGAAGATGACCTCGCCCAAAATAGCGCAGCAGCGCTCCAGCAGCGGATGGGCAGAGTTTCCCCACTCAACGAAAATGCAAAAGACCCGAACTAATTTTCCTGCCCGCTACTTCTACCCTCTGCCTAGACCTACGGCGGACTCCCCAAAGCAACAACCCAAGACCTATCTGTATGTATCTAGATGGAAACAGGGGAAAAGGGGCCTAGACCTATGACAAGGCAAAAGAAAAAGGCCGAATGGCCTAGGACTACCAAACATAGACTACTAGTGACAGACGCAGGGATCAAGCCCCATAGGGCACAACAATCACAAACAAAACACACAGGTTACAGGTCACGGGATCAAGTCCCGCAAGGTTCAAAACACACAAACAGCAAGCAAACAGGCAATACAACAGACAAAGGTTGCAGGATCAAATCCCGGCAACGAGGACAGGGACAAAATTAGTATACAGCCCGCTTGTAGCACTACAATTCATTGCACAGTCGAAGGGAAAGGAGGGATGTATGAAAGGACTGGCGTTTGATATTAAAGAATTTTTTTTATGAGCTACCGCATAGGTCGATACTCAAAGCTGTGGAATGGTTGATAGGGGTCATGCATGGTAAAGTTAGGACGGGAGTGTTCGCTAAGAGGAGGGCGAAAGGGGTGTCATTTGCAAAACAGAGAGGGGAGGACTGGTTGTTTGTGCGAGGATCAGGGTCCTCAGTAGGCCTATGGGGCCCTGTCTGCAGCCTTACCCGCCCTAAGTGAAGGCGGAGGTGCCCGCCCTAAGTGAAGGCGGAGGTGCCTGCCCTAAGTGAAGGCGGGCCTGGCTTTTTGCAAAAGGCCTTCAACTGTCAATTTCGTATTTTGGGGTTCACGCAGTTGCGACGCGCCAGTTGGTTGAAAGAAACACAGGCCGAGCAACAAGGACATTTCCACGGCCCACCGGGCCTTTCAAAAGAATGCAGGCCCTGGCGGTGATTCGCAGCCTCATACAGAGACAGTTGGGCGCCCAACCGAACGAGGCCCAGCAGCCCASTAGCTGCTGCATCCAGGCAGCCTCCTGGGGCCTTCCGGAAGCTTCTGGGCCCAGGCCAAGGCAGCCAGGCTGCGTGAGCAGGCCAACTCTTTCCATAAAGGAAAGAGCTCGGACCTGGCTGCCTCATTCGGTCACTTGCTGGCTGGGCGGCAGCGCTGCTGGAGCAAAAGCTCGCAGGCTGACTGGCGGCAGAGGAGCAAGGGGCAACACACGTGYGGTCGTGTAGGGGAACAGRGCGCTGCTGAGGGCAGCGCCATAGCCAGCCTCCATTGCGGGCTTGGCTTGGACAGAGTGAGGCGCAGGGGTGGTTCTTCGGGTGTCAGAGAGGACAGGTGTGGGTGAAGTCAGGGGATAGGTGAAGGATGATGATRATGATGATGATGTGAGGGCACGTACCTTGTATTGGCGATGGTCTGCATGGGCGGCATCTTCAAGTACTTCGGGCTGCTGCTGA